TGGGATTATGCAACTTCTTTAAATAGTTGCCCTAATCCTACAGAGATAGACCTTTAGTTTAACCACAAACAGCCGTAATATCACTATCACTCTCCACCAGACTCCAGAGACAAAAACACTCATTTTACCTTCAGATCATCGTAACTTCATTCAAAGTGGACTAAATGAATAATGTTGTTAGTTCTGGTTTCTTATCCAGCTGATCATACAGAACTTTATTTATTTCTGCCGGGTGTAAAACGTGTGTGTTTTCAGGTGAGTCTGTCGGTGGTGTGGGTGGCAGAAATTCCTCAGTCAGTACCAGGCTGGGTGGTAGCTCTAGCTGTGCTGGCGGGACTGCTGCTGCTGGCGCTGCTCATCTTCATCATGTACAAGGTGAGAAACAAACAGTGTAATGGTTATAGAATAATGACACATGGTTAGATCGGTAACCAGGGAACCAGACCAATCCACAGTTGATGTCTGAATGGCTCTGGCAGATGCGTCTGGCCAGCCCCTGAATTCCACCTGTCCGTGACTCCGATCTCGAGGAAACTTGGCACAGAGAGTCTTTGGACCATGCTGGCCAAAAGTTGAATAAAGAATTTTGATACATCAAAAAATGTGGAAGTTACAAAGGAACAACTTCCTGTAGCGTGTACTGGAGATATATCTCACTGAGGCGGTGGACAACACGACAGACGCTGTAAAAACCTTTCCAGACGACTGTTTAACCGATGCTCGTCGTCAGCCTCGTCAACCCGTGTGGCAGAAAATAGATTTTATTATAATTCTCTTTCTTCTTCTGTTCCTCTGCAGTTGGGTTTCTTTAAGCGGGTCCGCCCCCCCCAGGAGGACTGCACTGAGAAAGAGCAGCTGCAGCCGGAGGAGAACGGCAACGCTGACGCCTAGAGGTCGAACCCTAAGGACCGTCACCCCCTCCACACCCCCCCCCTCCGTCTGTGCAGAAACAATCAGGGTAAAATGTCCGTGAGGAGCGTTTCACTGTATTCACTGTTGAGTGGCAGATAATGGTACTGGTTTAAGGTTTTGTTTTTATGAGTCTTGTTGTGTTTGTGCCAATCTGGGTCAGAGGAACTCTTCAACGCTCAAGAATTTATATTTGAAAGTTAAAGGAATAGTTCAACATTTATTTTGAGAGTGAGATGTTCAGATTGATGCCAAGCTGCAGCCGGTTAGCTTAGCTTAGCATACAGACTGGTAACAGGGGGAAACCTGGCTTTGTCTGAAGGTAACAAAATCCACCTACCAGCACCTTTAAAGCTCTCTAGTTAACACAATTCATACAGCAGGTTAGGGTTAGGGGTTAGGATTAGGCTAACCCATTTCTCCTGTTGGTTTTTGTGCGTATTAAAAAACAAGATCTAAAGTGAGCTAATTAGTGACTTTAGAGGTTCTGGCGGGTTAGGGTAATCTGCAACTCCAACATTCAAATGAGGCTTTTTCATACTGGAGATTGGATGGTTTCGTCTGCACCAGAGCTTGTGGAGTTTGGCCCACAATTTGCAAATTTTTTTGTCCAAACCCAAAATGATTGATGAACTGTAGGTGCTTGTTGCCCATAAAGTCCAGAACTGCTGATAAATTCAAGTCATTATTTGAACCTGCCCTGATCGACAGCACTGTTTCCTAACAGAATTAGTACAGCAGGGACCTTTCTGGGTTGGTAAAGGACTACGGAGGAGGTCTGAGATCAGATTGGTGCTTTTCTGCTCAAACGTTAGCTGCAAAGATATCTCCATTAGCTTCCACAAAGTGCTTGCTAGTCTCACCATAAAATGCTAATAACAATAAAAAGAAAAAAATCACTATTAATTGAGCACAGAAAAATGAATGATGAGAAAACATGTTAAATAATTTAGCGAATGAGTAACTTATTAAAAGTATACAATGAAAACAAAAAAGCTAACGAGGATAAAATTGTTGAAAGTCTAAAGGACGTGATAAAGCAGAGGATTGTGGGTATGGGACGTCCTCGGCAACAGTAAACAGAGCCTTTATCCCGAGGTGGCTGATTGGCTGTGTTCAGGTCTCTGTTTTTGGATAAAGGTGGTTGTGATGTGGGATGACAGTTACAGTAATATATTTACCCTGATCTTCTTTTTATTTCTTCCTGCTTTGTGTGTATGGGGAAGCTGGTTTGAACATCTCATGTAAGAGTCATTACTGCTCTGCTCGGGATGCTGGTGGGGTGTTTCAGTATTTTTGGGTATTTTCTACAAAACACGATCAAGAATTTTTTTGCAAAGTTTGCTTTTTTGTTTGAAATGTTTGAAATGTTGTTGGTTGTAAAAATCAATGCAAGTGATGAGTTTATATTTGGTTTTGTAAAACTGATCCTTCCTAAGTCCCGGTCAGAACTCAAAAAGATAATTAGCTTCCGTTTTCTAATATTAGCCACCAGATGTGACTAGCTACTTAATGTAGATTAGCTAGCTAGTTAGCTAGTGTTTTGCTCTATATCAAAATACTAGCTTACTAGCTAACTAACCAGCAAACGATTGATGTAGATTAGTTAGCTAACATTTTGTTAACATTAGTTAACCTTACTCCTCACTTTTCTCTTTTAACCATCTTCAAAAATATGTCTTTCCAACATAGATTAGCACATAGCATAGCACATAGCAGAGGTTCCAAAAGTGGCTAAACCCCTCCCCTGAATAGCATTGTCCAATCATTGCTAGGTGCGACAGGCCAGTTGGAGCGGTGTATATCAACAGTAACTAGGGAGGGCGGGGCTTAACAAACGGTCAGTTAGTTACGGTTATAATTTTCCCACCCTGCACTGTTATGTTTTTTTGAAGTAGTATTATTTTTCCTCAGATTTCAGTCGTGACTGGCAGCTTTGCTGAGAACGAAAATGTGACGAAAGCAGGTCGCTAGTTTGTATGAGTGTGTAAATGTGCATGGGAATATTAAAAACAAAAACATTGCTACAGTATGAATTTACCCATATTGGGTTTGCATCATGAATTAATGTTTAAGGTTGATGATCATTTAAAAACAAATTAATTCAATTAACAATCACAATGAAATAACTGCTGGAACACTTCGGTTAGCACATGATGCGTGTTTTTGTTTTCTTGAACTGGCATTTTATCCACTGCCTTCTGCGTTCGTCATCCCTCTCAATATTCTCCGCTGCCACTAGGTGTCACTACTGCCGTCAGTTGTCAGTAAAATCTGGATCTCTTCAGCAGTTGTTAGTAAGGGATGCACTGAAAAATACTGTCCAAACTAATCTTGCTAACCTGAATACTGATAGCTTTGCTAGCGTAGCATCAGAGCAGACTTATTTGGTTATTATTACAACCTTGAAAACTTGGTTTCAAATCTTAAGTCTTTAGAAGAGTCAGCACCTCCAGAAAGTTGCAAACGCACAATTTTGCAGTTTTGTTCAATCACCACAACTTTTCCGCAAACAAGTTGGCTTTGATTTTTAATTAATTTTACAAAAAAAAACAACATTTCCAATTTTCTCTTTCTCCTGCAATTTCATTGCAAAAAAATACCTAAAAATATCGCCATTTTTTTGTGAAATCTGATATTTTAGGCCGTTAACAATCCTGGGGGAACTGGATAATCAAAATAAGCAGCAATTTTAAAAATACACTCCCAGATGTTTCTGTCGGGACTGTGATTTGACCAACTGAGAAGAACCTAAAGTTAAAACAGACATAATAAACAAGATCAGCAGCTTGGTAGTATCTGTGCGTCCCAAATCTGACGAGGTAGATATTGAGTCATGACGGAGAAGCTAACTGCACTGTTAAAACTTTTTACAAGGATATTTCTACATATTGTCACTGTTTAAACTAGACATATAAAGCTTTTTAGGGTTCAGCAGGACTGACATCAAATTACAACTCAGTCAGTATTTTATTCACAAAAGATGCATTTTAATGAAATATACACATTATTATTCTATTATTAAATTTATTATTAAATTTAGTTATTTATACTTTTGGAAAAGTACATTTGAGATTAAAAACAATAAAAAAAACTAAAAGAAACCTTCCTGAGTCGACAGAATGCAGTGATTTGAAGTCAGTCCTGCTGTTGTGTTTGAGGGGTTTGAACTGATTTATATTTAATACCACTGTCTTTCTTTCTGCATTACAAAATATGGACTATTTTTGATGTATGTATTCTTTCACCTAGAGAATAAAAATTAACTATTTCATAAGATGATTTCACCTTTGAGCTGAAATAAACAGACTTGTTCACAATTTGTTCAGTGTTTGTCTTTTTTTTAAACTGCATGATGAATCTTTGAAGCCTGTTAAAAATAGTGATAATTCACCTGCTCCTTGACACTGGTAGGGCCATCAGACACAGAGACACAGTGGGTTTTTCTTTAAGATGTTTATTCTGTTTAATTGAGAAAAATATATTGAAAGGGTGAGACCTTCATGTCCCGCTTCCTTGTGATTGGTCAATGTGTCAGCAGGAAGCTGAGGTCACTACCTGGGTCGTACTCCACTGAGGGCTTTCCCCTAAAACATAATAAAACAACAACAAAACACATTGTGGTAACTGTTGTTACTGGTGGTACTGGTTCCAGGTACTGCCTGTGTGTGTGTGTGTGTGTGAGTTACCGAGTGAAGAGTCTGGCCTTGGTGGTTCCCAGTAATGTGGCTTTGTTTCCTTCCACCAGCAGCATGGATCCCTCCCTCAGACCCTGAAAATGCACAAAATTAGCGTGTTTTTGTCTGTGACCTTCTCAAAGAAATAAAACACAGAAACGCTGTAATGACTAACGTAAATTCAGCATGAAGTACTTTCCCACAGCTTTAATTTCATCATAACAACGATAGAGTCATGTCACCACGAATGCTGGGAGTTATGTGTTACTGTAATTCCACTACCTATGTAATGTAACTAATTACATTTTCAAATTAAATAATGCAATTAGATCCGGTTGATGTTCCGGTTCACGATCTAACGTCACCGACTTTAATGTGGCCCAGACAGTTCAGTCTGCTGACGGCAGCAATCTAAATATGGCAAAACTTGTATTATAGAAGAGAAACTGAGTTTAAGATGACACTGAATGCATCAAGACAACTGGTAAACTATATATTAACAGGCCCGTCTCACCAGGACACAGGGAGTATCAGGTTCTTCGTGGTACTGGGTAATCCTCTGCTCTCTGGTCTCCTGCACAAGAACAAAAATAACCCATCATCATGACAACAAGACAGAAACAGCCCCAAATGGTTTCTCAAAGGCCCTGAATCTTTAAGGCTTTTTAAAAAAAACTTCTACTTTCTCCTCAGTTTCTCTGACTAGAGCTAAAGTTCTATTACTGGGGGAATATCACCGATTATTACAGTATTATGGATCCACATTTAGCATTTGTCAGATTAACATTCATTCTAGAGCCCGACTGATATTGGATTTCTGAGACTGACTGTACTGGGAAAATGTCATGTCTGTACTGTATTTGATTCATATGATAATAACAATAATGATATTATCACTATCATCTTCTAAGTCCAATAATTTGAAACTAATTGTCTTTCAGAGACGATAAAGATTTGATTGAGTCCATTTGACAATAAAACGTTACGGAGGGTGGTGCTGTAGATACAGGGCAGATGTTGGTGCTATAGATATCATACACCAGCAAAAACAGGTTTTAAGAGTAGTAATCCTTTTCACACCAAATTCCTACCCTACCTATGTTATATAACTTTAAACTAATATCAGCCAATTTTTGCCTTTTTTTAAGTGGCAGGAGTGAAAATTAGTTGGAAGACAGTTGGAGAACAAACAGACACACAATAGGATGAAGGCTGTTTAACTCAACAACTATCATGATTCATTCAAATAACTGGCTTAAAAAACAGCAATACACATATCTGTGTAAGTGTGTGTGTGTGTGTGTGTGTGTCTGTGTGTATCTGTACAGAAATAACCAACAATGACCACAAGGGGGAGCCCTCCTACACAGCATGCTGGGAAACAAACACTTCTGGTGTTGTTGTGTTTTATATCAATCAGTTGTTATCTGATAATCGATTAATCATTTCAGTTATTTTTAACTTTCGTCTCTGAATCCAGTTTCAGTAAAAACAATAATTGACAGATTATTCAATAATGAGAATAATGATTGGCTCCAGCCCTGATTACGTCCTATTTTAGTAATCACTGAGATAATTTAATGTGCAAAGATGATTTTAAACATAACAACGCTCAGATATTTGAGTCAATCAGCAGCAGGGGATTATGGGATGGCTGATTTGGATGCCATTCACATAATATATTCAAACTGTTCATCACTTCTAACATGACCTCCGTCAAACAAACTGTATCTCCGTCTGCTGACGCTGCATTTCTTTTTGTTAATCACAGCAGTTTGTAGACGTTGCGTAACTTCCTCCCGCAGGACAGAAACATTGATGACCAGTTAGAACCTGCTGCCTCACAGTTTGTCACATAAACCTCACAACAACACGGCCTGCTGCGGTTCTGCTGCGGTTCTCGGGTAGTTTGAATACTTTACAGCTGGTGATATTAAGTTTAAAACAAATCAACACCGTCAGTCACACAAGCAGCTTTTATTTGACCTGAGGGTGAAAAGATCTGTGGGGGCGGTAACTGATAGGACAAGTAATCGACCAATCAGTGCGAAATGAATTATCACTTTCATTCTCATCCATCAGTGGGTTGAACAAAGACTACAGTGTTTACAACATCCTTATCTATACAGCAAAGTTTCCATTGTATAAACAGACAGAATCCTCAGACCCTTAAAGGTACAAACAGACTCAGTGTGATACTGAGGCCTCTATATGACCATCAGAGAGAAGACTGGATATTTCTAAACAGTTAATAATGTCTGCCATCCTAATGCTGCCATCAATAGAGCCAGCTGGTAGAAACACTGTTTGTCCACCGGTGCCGCCAGTACCAACACAGAATGAAGGTTCCTTGTAGAGATTTCAGGTTATACATCAGTTGTTTGCTGCTATATTCACGTTTTAAATCACATAAAAGTACAAGTATCAGTACTAAAGTATTCTCAGTAAAATGTACTAGGATCTCTTTGGTGGACCCGATGGCTCAGAGACTGATAAATAATGTACTGAATCTTATGAGCTAATCAATTCACGTTCAAACTCACTCTGAAACATATCGAAACCCATTTCCACCAGAAACATTTAAAAAAAGAGGATGATGATTTATTTTTTCCAAATTCTGAGATTAAAAATGTAAAATGATCAGATAAAATGTAGATTTTTCTTTTCAAGGCCAAGTTTATATTTGATTTTACTGGGAGAAAAAGGCTTCCATAGAAAGGTAACCAGTTACTCCAGCTAATGGACTGATAAAGTCTAATAAGTAATATATATAACCCCTGTTGCTCTTATATATATTATGTATATTAAGCAGAGGTTTGTGACTGACCCCCATGTGGCGGCTGTTGGGGTTGGGGTCCAGGTAGTGCGGGTTGATGTTGAAGGGGACGAGGCCGATGGCGGAGAAGGACGGAGGGTAGACGATGGGCATGTCGTTGGTGGTGTTGATGCTGATGGTGGCCACGTTGGTGCCGGCACTGGAGCCCATGTAGGGGACGCCATCCTGGGAGAGACGTAAGGGGAGAATGGAGGACGGATGTCCAGTAAGTAAAGTTCACTGTTGAAGTGTAAAAGCAGATAAAAACCTGAAAGGAAACACGTTAACGGGTGGACAGGAACTTAAAGGTTATCCACCGATCAGCACTAATAACCACCGGACTCCGTGGTGGTTTTAATGTACGTCAGTAAACCGTCACAATGTGGCCCTTGTCAAAGTCGATTTTGACAAGGGCCACATTTAGGTTAGACAACTGGGTCTGTTCCCTGTCTGCAGTGGCCAGTACCTATCAGAAGTGGTTCAGGAACCGTTGGAGAACGAGTTCAAGGTGTTGCCTCCAGATCCCCCAGATCTAAATCCAATCGAGCGTCTGTGGGACAAACGAGTTCGATCCATGGAGCCCCCCCACCCCCTCACATCATACAAGACTTAAAGGATCTGCTGCTGTCGGTGCCAGATTCCACAGCAAACCTTCAGAGGTCTAGTGGAGCCTCGATGATCAGGGCTGTTTTGGCGGGTTATCGCAGTCTGAGGAGATCAGACTCACAGTACCTGCTTTTAATCTTTGCTTCAAACTTATTTTTATAGAAAAGCCTTTTATGACTTCTCGTTGTTGTTGTTGTTTTCTTTTATTCTCATATTTGAACAGAGTTTTCTTTACGTATATTTGGTCTTTGTTTGGATAAGTGTGTGACTTATGGCTGACACGCTTAGGTAATATATATTGATCGGGCTCACCTCCAGCACTCTCCTCCTGATCTCTGACACCACCTTGTTGTCGTAGAGACTCTTCAGCAGTCGGAAAGTGTTTCCTCCTCCTGCAAACAAAGATAAATATTAGTGTCCCCTGCCATAAACTGCTTTATAAAGCGACTGTACTGAGTATGAAGGGTTAGTGTTGCACAGAATATAATAAACCAGCAATCACTGGTCAAAGAAACTGGAAGCTGAGCATCAGAATCTGTGCAGATACAAACAGGAAGTGGTTGCTCTTTCAGTGTAAAGTGCACAACAACGTCTCTAACAGGCGGGTTGTTTAGTTAAAGTTCTTAAAACGTCTGAATGGAAACAGAGGTTTAGTGTACGGCTGGCACTGCGGGACTGCACAGAGCCCAAAGAAAACCAGGTTCCCAAAATATTTAGGGCTCAGTTACAGTATTTTCCCATCATGCACTGCAGGGACACTTTAATCATTTTCTGGGGCCAAAACTATTTCACATGTAAATAATATGTTTAGTGTTTGAATTATATTTTATCTCTGTTACAGTAGAAAACCTGTGAACCTGTGTCGGCCTCTGTTAATAATAATAATAATAAATACTATTATTATTACTTATCTATGATCTTATTATTATTTTTACAGTTTATTTTTACAGTTTAATGTTCATGTTGAGCTTTGTTGTCCTTCCTCAGCTGCATTCCTTCATATTCTATTATTAATATTCAGTATTTGTCTCAACATTGTTTCTGTTATTTTTATAAAAGCAGTGATTTGTTTCTGAAATAAGAAAGAAAGAAAGAGAAGGATGAAGGAAAGAGAAGTTCTAAGGAGGAACTGATGAGCTGCTCTACATTCAGTTTGAGTCTGAGGGGATTTGAACCATCAACCTCAGCTGCTTTGCTCTGCTGCTCCTCACCTATAAAAATGGCCTCAGCCTTCCGGACGGCGCCGACGGGGTCCGGGGCCTCGTGGATGCCGTCCACCTCGTAACCTGCAGGGTTACAAACACATTCTCAATGTTTAACATGGTTTCAGTAGAAACTACTTAAATGTAACAACTGGTCATAAATGTGCTTACAGAAGTGACAATATGTTAAACTCCATAAAATATACGAAACAGAAGGAAACAAAGAAACTGGGGAAGAAGATCAAATCAGATAATAAACTATAGAGCAGAGTTAGAGTCTGGGTCTTACGGGACCTACCCAGAGTCTGAAACTTGTCCCTGGCAGTCTTGGTGTAGGCGTCTCTGTCATGGAGAGCGTAAGGAACAAACAGCACCCTCTTCACCTCCCTGAAAGCGTGTGCAGAGACACCTGGACAGGTGAGGGCTGTGAACCAGGTCCCTCCAAACACACTCAAACTCTTTAAATAAAGTTATTAATGTTGTTTATTGTTCAGATCAGAACCAGAAATCTCAAACCTTCAAACTAATTACTTTAAACACATTGTTATTAGAGAGTTCATTTACATACTCCTGCCAATTCTCTCCACACCAAACTCCATTCAGAAATCTGGCATTTTAATGAGCCTTTAGCCTTTTTTACCAACCTTGGACCACGTGACTTCAGACTTTGAAGATTATTTTTTTCAGTGAAGTTATTCTTCATAAACTGCTGCTTGGAGCCGAACTTTACCCCTCAACTGCTGATTCACTCTGGATTCCCAAACACGTTCACAGAGACATTTATGTTTGCTGACGCTTTTGTAAATATTAAATTGGAGGATTATTAAAGGGAATTCGCACCGGAGAGAAGCTTTTAACTCCGTTCCTCTTCTTAACTAAACTTACTTTCCAAAGAAGTGTGAGATGTTCTGCTGACAGTGGTCCAGGTAGCCGCCACCGTGCAGGGTGGAGTTGGACACCAGCAGGAGTCTCCTCTTCATCTCTGAGTAAAGACACAAACTCAGCTCAGGTCGAGAGACGGAAGACAACCTGCAGAGGTCTGAGTGTTGCAGAGTCCAGGTCCAGGTCCACAGTTCGGCTGTGATACCGCTGACAGCAGCTCTCTGGCGGGCTGTAAAAGCAGCTGATAACAGCTGGACCCGCCTGCTGCTCTACAGCCAGCGGCTCCACCCTCCACCAGACTCCGGCTTCATTTCTGCCCTAAAACTTTTATTCGACCGAAACTAAAACTTTACACAAAGTTCACTTATATTTACCAGGATAAACAACACTAGTACTTCCGGCTCAAGTCTTTCACAATAAAAGTGTTAAAACCCTAGAGAAAGTAATACATTTGGACAATTACTGATTACACAGATTTCAACATATGTCAAATGCTTCCATTAAACTTTATTCATCAAAACTAATTTCCTTTTTATCACAACCAAAGTAAATAAAAAATAAAAACTGCACTTAAAAATGCAGAAAATACAAAACAAAGATAAAGAATAAAAACCTTAACGAAACACAGAGAATAAATAAATAAATAGAAAGAAAATAGCTGGAAAAAGACAATAAAGATATAAACTCTATAAACTATAGAGCAGGTACATTGCAGGTCTTATTCTCATATCCACTGCAGAAATCCTCAGTAACGGACAGATAATAATGTAATAATGTAATAAATCATTTAAAACTTAGTTTGAGAAACAAAACACGACAAACAGCATCTCCACGGAACAAAATACACTCTTTCAGAATAAAAGCATAAAAAGAATAAACCATAATTCGAATATAAATGTATGAAGAATTATTGTATCATTACATTACATTGATTTATAGTAGACTCATATAATATATATAATCTTATTTTCTTATTAATAAGTTTTAACCTTTGACATCAACATATTTGTTTATATTCTGTTTGTATTGTTGGTGTTCAGTCATTTGATTGGAGTTCCAGTATGTGTCCACCAGGAGGCAGCAGAACCTCTCCCAGTAGTAGGACCATCAGTGTTTAAAGGTTCTGACCCACAGCAACCATCAAACACTGACGGTTGAAGAACGACAGACAATCCACTGATTATTTCAATTTAATTTTCAGTGTTTCTGTTAAATTCCACTCATTCAGTCATTTTGAGGTTTTGGACTAAAAGCTGGACCAGGAAATGTTCAGCTTTATTATTGCATGTCCCAATAATCTAATCATATTATATATATGATTATCATAT